GTAGTGTAGTAGTAGTAGTGGTAGTAGTAGTAGTGTAGTAATAGTGGTAGTAGTAGTGTGGTAGTAGTAGTGTAGTAGTAGTGGTAGTAGTGTAGTAGTAGTAGTGTAGTAGTAGTCTAGTAGTAGTGGTGGTAGTAGTGGTAGTAGTGTAGTAGTAGTGGTAGTAGTAGTGTAGTATTAGTAGTGGTAGTAGTAGTAGTGTAGTAATAGTAGTAGTGTAGTAGTAGTGTAGTAGTATAGTAGTAGTAGTGTAGTAGTAGTGGTAGTAGTAGTGTAGTAATAGTAGTAGTGTAGTAGTAGTGTAGTAGTAGTAGTGGTAGTAGTAGTAGTGTAGTAGTATAGTAGTAGTAGTGTAGTAGTATAGTAGTAGTGTAGTAGTGTGGTTGTAGTGTAGTAATAGTAGTAGTGTAGTAGTAGTAGTGGTAGTAGTAGTGTAGTAGTAGTAGTGGTGTAGTAGTGGTAGTAGTAGTAGTGTAGTAGTAGTCGTCGTGGTAGTAGTGGTAGTAGTAGTGGTAGTAGTAGTAGTAGTGTAGTAGTAGTGTAATAGTAATAGTGGTAGTAGTAGTCGTGGTAGTAGTAGTGGTAGTAGTAGTGTAGTAGTAGTAGTGTAGTAGTAGTGTAGTAATAGTGGTAGTAGTAGTGTAGTAGTGGTAGTAGTAGTAGTGGTAGTAGTAGTGGTAATAGTGGTAGTAGTAGTGGTAGTAGTAGTAGTGTAGTAGTAGTAGTGGTAGTAGTAGTAGTGTAGTAATAGTAGTAGTGTAGTAGTAGTGTAGTAGTATAGTAGTAGTAGTGTAGTAGTAGTGGTAGTAGTAGTGTAGTAATAGTAGTAGTGTAGTAGTGGTAGTAGTAGTGTAGTAGTATAGTAGTAGTAGTGTAGTAGTAGTAGTAGTGTGGTTGTAGTGTAGTAATAGTAGTAGTGTAGTAGTAGTAGTGGTAGTAGTAGTGTAGTAGTGGTGTAGTAGTGGTAGTAGTAGTAGTGTAGTAGTAGTAGTGGTAGTAGTCGTCATGGTAGTAGTGGTAGTAGTAGTAGTGTAATAGTAATAGTGGTAGTAGTAGTGTAGTAGTAGTAGTGTAGTAGTAGTGTAGTAGTAGTAGTATAGTAGTAGTAATAGTGGTAATAGTGGTAGTAGTATAGTCGTGGTAGTAGTGGTAGTAGTAGTAGTGTAGTAATAGTGGTAGTAGTAGTGGTAATAGTGGTAGTGGTAGTAATAGTAATAGTGGTAGTAGTAGTGGTAATAGTGGTAGTAGTAATAGTAATAGTGGTAGTAATAGTAGTAGTGGTAGTAGTAGTGTAGTATTGGTAGTAGTAGTGTAGTAGTAGTAGTGGTAGTAGTAGTAGTGGTAGTAGTGTAGTAATAGTAGTATTAGTAATAGTAGTAGTGGTAGTAGTGTAGTAATAGTAGTAATAGTAATAGTGGTAGTAGTAGTGTAGTATTGGTAGTAGTAGTGGTAGTAGTAGTAAGAGTGTAATAGTGGTAGTGGTAGTAATGAAGACCTTGAGGTCCCTGTTCTTCATGGGGACGTATCCCTCGTGTAGTAGTAGTAGTGGTAGTAGTAATAGTAGGAGTGGTAGTAATAGTAGTAGTGGTAGTAGTAGTGTAGTATTGGTAGTAGTAGTAGTGGTAGTAGTGGTAGCGGTACTAATGAAGACCTTGAGGTCCCTGTTCTTCATGGGGACGTATCCCTCGTGCAGTAGTGGAGTAGTAATAGTAGTGTAGTAGTAGTGTAGTAGTGGTAGTAGTGGTAATAGTGGTAGTAGTGGTAGTAATAGTAGTAATAGTAGTAGTGGTAATAGTGGTAGTAATAGTAGTGATAGTAGTAGTGGTAGTAGTAGTGTAGTAATAGTAGTAGTAGTGGTAATAGTGGTAGTAATAGTAGTAGTGGTAGCGGTAGTAATGAAGACCTTGAGGTCCCTGTTCTTCATGGGGACGTATCCCTCGTGTAGTAGTAGTGGTTGTAGTAGTGGTAGTAGTAGTGGTAGTAATAGTAGTGTAGTAATAGTAGTGTAGTAGTGGTAGTAGTAGTAATAGTAGTATAGTATTGGTAGTAATGAAGACCTTGAGGTCCCTGTTCTTCATGGGGACGTATCCCTCGTGTAGTAGTAGTAGTGGTAGTAGTGGTAGTAGTAGTAGAGGTAGTGGTAGTAGTAGTCATAGTGGTAGTGTAGTAGTGGTAGTAATGGTAGTAGTGGTAATAGTGGTAGTAGTAATAGTAGGAGTGGTAGTAATAGTAGTAGTGGTAGTAGTAGTGTAGTATTGGTAGTAGTAGTAGTGGTAGTCGTGGTAGTGGTAGTAATGAAGACCTTGAGGTCCCTGTTCTTCATGGGGACGTATCCCTCGTGTAGTAGTGGTAGTAGTAGTGTAGTAGTAGTGTAGTAGTAGTAGTGGTAGTAGTAGTAGTGGTAGTAGTAGTGTAGTGGTAGTAGTAGTGGTAGTCGTGGTACTAGTAGTGTAATAGTGGTAGTAGTAGTAATAGTAGTAGTGGTAGTGGTAGTAATAGTAGTAGTGTAGTAGTGGTAGTAATGAAGACCTTGAGGTCCCTGTTCTTCATGGGGACGTATCCCTCGCGCAGTAGTAGTAGTGTAGTAGTAGTAGTGTAGTAGTGGTAGTGTAGTAGTAGTGTAGTAGTAGTAGTGTAGTAGTGGTAGTAGTAGTGGTAGTAGTAGTAATAGTAGTGGTAATAGTAGTAGTAATGGTGGTAGTGGTAGCGGTAGTAATGAAGACCTTGAGGTCCCTGTTCTTCATGGGGACGTATCCCTCGTGTAGTAGTAGTAGTGTAGTGGTAGTAGTGTAGTAGTAGTGTAGTAGTAGTAGTGGTAGTAGTAGTAGTGTAGTAGTTTAGTAGTAGTAGTGGTAATAGTAGTAGTAGTGGTAGTAATGAAGACCTTGAGGTCCCTGTTCTTCATGGGGACGTATCCCTCGCGCAGTAGTGGTAGTGGTAGTAGTAGTGTAATAGTGGTAGTAGTAGTAATAGTAGTAGTGGTAGTAATAGTAGTAGTGTAGTAGTAGTGTAGTGGTAGTAGTAGTAGTGGTAGTCGTGGTAGTAGTAGTGTAATAGTGGTAGTAGTAGTAATAGTAGTAGTGGTAGTAATAGTAGTAGTGTAGTAGTAGTGGTAGTAATGAAGACCTTGAGGTCCCTGTTCTTCATGGGGACGTATCCCTCACGTAGTAGTAGTGGTTGTAGTAGTGGTAGTGTAGTAGTAGTGTAGTAATAGTGGTAGTAGTAGTGTAGTAGTGGTAGTAGTAGTAGTGGTAGTGTAGTAGTAGTGTAGTAGTGGTAGTAGTAGTGGTAGTAGTAGTAGTGTAATAGTGTAGTAGTAGAGGTAGTAGTAGTAGTCGTGGTAGTAGTGTAGTAGTGGTAGTGGTAGTAATAGTAGTAGTGTAGTAGTAGTGTAGTAGTGGTAGTAGTAATAGTAGTAGTGGTAGTAATGAAGACCTTGAGGTCCCTGTTCTTCATGGGGACGTATCCCTCGTGTAGTAGTAGTAGTGTAGTAGTAGTGTAGTAGTAGTGGTTGTAGTAGTGGTAGTGTAGTAGTAGTGTAGTAGTAGTAGTGTAATAGTGGTAGTAATAGTAGTGTAGTAGTGGTAGTAATGAAGACCTTGAGGTCCCTGTTCTTCATGGGGACGTATCCCTCGTGTAGTAGTAGTGTAGTAGTAGTGTAGTAGTAGTAGTGTAGTAATAGTAGTAGTGTAGTAGTGGTAGTAATGAAGACCTTGAGGTCCCTGTTCTTCATGGGGACGTATCCCTCGTGTAGTAGTAGTGTAGTAGTAGTGTAGTAGTAGTAGTGTAGTAATAGTAGTAGTGTAGTAGTGGTAGTGTAGTAGTAGTGTAGTAATAGTGGTAGTAGTAGTGTAGTAGTGGTAATAGTAGTGTAGTAGTGGTAGTAATGAAGACCTTGAGGTCCCTGTTCTTCATGGGGACGTATCCCTCGTGTAGTAGTAGTAGTGGTAGTCGTGGTAGTAGTAGTGTAATAGTGATAGTAGTAGTAGTAGTGGTAGTAATAGTAGTAGTGTAGTAGTAGTGGTAGTAATGAAGACCTTGAGGTCCCTGTTCTTCATGGGGACGTATCCCTCGCGCAGTAGTGGTAGTGGTAGTAGTAGTGTAATAGTGGTAGTAGTAGTAATAGTAGTAGTGGTAGTAATAGTAGTAGTGTAGTAGTAGTGTAGTGGTAGTAGTAGTAGTGGTAGTCGTGGTAGTAGTAGTGTAATAGTGGTAGTAGTAGTAATAGTAGTAGTGGTAGTAATAGTAGTAGTGTAGTAGTAGTGGTAGTAATGAAGACCTTGAGGTCCCTGTTCTTCATGGGGACGTATCCCTCACGTAGTAGTAGTGGTTGTAGTAGTGGTAGTGTAGTAGTAGTGTAGTAATAGTGGTAGTAGTAGTGTAGTAGTGGTAGTAGTAGTAGTGGTAGTGTAGTAGTAGTGTAGTAGTGGTAGTAGTAGTGGTAGTAGTAGTAGTGTAATAGTGTAGTAGTAGAGGTAGTAGTAGTAGTCGTGGTAGTAGTGTAGTAGTGGTAGTGGTAGTAATAGTAGTAGTGTAGTAGTAGTGTAGTAGTGGTAGTAGTAATAGTAGTAGTGGTAGTAATGAAGACCTTGAGGTCCCTGTTCTTCATGGGGACGTATCCCTCGTGTAGTAGTAGTAGTGTAGTAGTAGTGTAGTAGTAGTGGTTGTAGTAGTGGTAGTGTAGTAGTAGTGTAGTAGTAGTAGTGTAATAGTGGTAGTAATAGTAGTGTAGTAGTGGTAGTAATGAAGACCTTGAGGTCCCTGTTCTTCATGGGGACGTATCCCTCGTGTAGTAGTAGTGTAGTAGTAGTGTAGTAGTAGTAGTGTAGTAATAGTAGTAGTGTAGTAGTGGTAGTAATGAAGACCTTGAGGTCCCTGTTCTTCATGGGGACGTATCCCTCACGTAGTAGTAGTAGTAGTGGTAGTAGTAGTGTAGTAGTAGTAGTGTAGTAGTATAGTAGTAATAGTAGTAGTGTAGTAGTAGTGGTAGTAATGAAGACCTTGAGGTCCCTGTTCTTCATGGGGACGTATCCCTCGCGCAGGGAGATGAGGACCGGTCCAGCGTCCCGTCCCTCAGCCCAATCCTCGGCCTCTAGGGGAGCCTCAGGGCCTGCCGTGTCTGGGTAGAGGTCATCCTGGAACAAGTCAGACTGGGGGGGGGCACGGGGGGCACGGGGGGGCAGGGTCATGTCACTACGCCCTACATGACACACGACACTACTGTACACTACATTATACACTACTACACTATACTATACATTATACACTACACTATACACTACACTATACACTACTACACTATACTATACATTATGCACTACACTATACACTACATTATACACAACTACACTATACACTCCATTATACACTACTACACTATACTATACATTATGCACTACACTATACACTAATATACACTACATTATACACAACTACACTACATTATACACTACTACACTACATTATACACTACACTATACACTATACTATACACTACACACTATACTATACTATACACTACATTATACACTACTACGCTATACACGACACTACACACTACACTATACTATACACTACACTATACACTACTACACTACACACTATACACTACATTATACACTACACTATACACTACACTACACTATATACTACACTATACACTACATTATACACTACAGTATAAACTACTTTACATTACACATTACACTATACACTACTAAACACTACACACTACATTACTATACACTACACTATACACTACACTATACACTACACTACACACTACACACTATACTATACACTACACTATACACTACGTACACACACAGACGGCTTTACCTTGCGTGGCACCGTCATGATGATTGGCTCACACTTGCGTTCATGCAGCTTGTAGAACCTAACACAGTCACACAGTCAGTCACACACAGTCACACACAGTCAGTTACACCATCACACACACAGTCACACAGTCAGTCACACACAGTCAGTTACACCATCACACACACAGTCACACAGTCAGTCACACACAGTCAGTTACACCATCACACACACAGTCACACAGTCAGTCACACACAGTCAGTTACACCATCACACACACAGTCACACAGTCAGTCACACAGTCAGTCACACAGTCAGTCACACAGTCAGTTACAGTCAGTCACAGTCACACACAGTCAGTTACACAGTCAGTCACACACAGTCAGTCACACACAGTCAGTCACACAGTCACACACAGTCAGTCAGTTACAGTCAGTCACACACAGTCAGTCACACACAGTCAGTCACACAGTCAGTCAGTTACAGTCAGTCACACACAGTCAGTTACACACAGTCAGTTACAGTCAGTCACACACAGTCAGTCACACACAGTCAGTTACACACAGTCAGTCACACACAGTCAGTTACACACAGTCAGTCACACACAGTCACACACAGTCAGTCACACACAGTCACACACAGTCAGTCACACACAGTCAGTTACACAGTCACACACAGTCAGTTACACACACACAGTCAGTTACAGTCAGTTACACACAGTCAGTCAGTTACACACAGTCAGTTACACACAGTCAGTTACACACAGTCAGTTACACACAGTCAGTTACACACAGTCACACACAGTCAGTTACAGTCAGTTACACAGTCAGTTACAGTCAGTCACACAGCCAGTCACACACAGTCAGTCACACAGTCAGTCACACAGTCACACAGTGAGTCAGTCACACAGTCAGTCACACCATCACACACACAGTCACACACAGTCACACAGTCAGTCAGTCACACCATCACACACACAGTCACACACAGTCACACCATCACACACACAGTCACACACAGTCACACAGTCAGTCAGTCGCACAGTCACATGTACAGTCACACAGTCACATGTACAGTCACGTGGTGGCTGTGTTGCTGGTGGTGGTGGTTGTCTGGCGGTGGTCGCAATGGAGGTCGTGGTTGTCTGGTGGTGCTGGTGGTGGTGGTGGCGATGGTGGTGGTGGTGGCGATGGTGGCGGTGGCAATGGTTGTGGCGATGGTGGTGGTGGTGGTGGTGCTGGTGGTGGCGATGGTGGTGGTAGTGGTGTTAGTGGTGTTAGTGGTGGTCTTGGCGATAGTTGTGGCGATGGTGGTGGTGGTGGTGATGATGGTGGTGGCGATGGTGGTGGTGGTGGCGATAGTTGTGGCGATGGTGGTGATGGTGGTGGCGATGGTGGTGGTTGTGGCGATGGTGCCGATGGTTGTGGCGATGGTGGTGGCGATGGTGGTGGCGATGGCGGTGGTGGTGGCGGTGGTGATGGTGGCGATGGTGGTGGCGATGGTGGTGGCGGCGATGGCGATGGCGGTGGTGATGGTGGCGATGGTGGCGATGGTGGCGATGGTGGCCGTACCGAGCGATCTCACACTTGTTGACATCAAGGCCACGCTTGGGCATGAACCCCATGCCCCTCTGGGGGTCCTTGCTGCTGAAAACGTTCAGGAAGTGCACGTAGGGGGCCTCGTCCGTCACCTCGAAGTAGCGGATGCTGCTGTCACCCTGCACAACAACAATAACAACAACAACAACAATAGCGTACGGGGAGTGAGACACGGCGAGAGAGAGAGACACGGGGAGAGAGAGACAAGGGGAGAGAGAGACACAGAGAGAGAGACACGGGGAGAGAGAGATACGGGGAGAGAGAGAGACACGGGGAGTGAGACACGGCGAGAGAGAGACACGGGGAGACAGAGACACGGCGAGAGAGAGACGCGGGGAGAGAGAGACACGGGGAGAGAGAGACACGGGGAGAGAGACATGGAGAGAGAGACGCGGGGAGAGAGAGAGACACGGGGAGTGAGACACAGGGAGAGAGAGAGACATGGGGAGAGAGGCACGGGGAGAGAGAGAGACACGGGGAGAGAGACACGGGGAGAGAGAGAGAGAGATACGGGGAGAGAGAGAGACACGGGGAGTGAGACACGGCGAGAGAGAGACGCGGGGAGAGAGAGAGACACGGAGAGAGAGACATGGGGAGAGAGAGACATGGGGAGAGAGAGACATGGGGAGAGAGAGACATGGGGAGTGAGAGACACGGGGAGAGAGAGACACGGGGAGTGAGAGACACGGGGAGAGAGAGACACGGGGAGAGAGAGACACGGGGAGAGAGAGACACAGGGAGAGAGAGACACGGGGAGAGAGACGCGGGGAGAGAGAGAGACACGGGGAGTGAGACACGGGGAGAGAGGCACGGGGAGAGAGAGAGACACGGGGAGAGAGAGAGACACGGGGAGAGAGACACGGAGGGAGAGAGACACGGGGAGAGAGAGAGAGACACGGGGAGAGAGAGAGACACGAGGAGAGAGACACGGAGGGAGAGAGACACGGGGAGAGAGAGACACGGGGAGAGAGAGAGACACGGGGAGTGAGACATGGCGAGAGAGAGACGCGGGGAGAGAGAGAGACACGGAGAGACACGGGGAGAGAGAGACACGGGGAGTGAGAGACACGGGGAGAGAGAGACACGGGGAGAGAGAGACACGGGGAGAGAGAGACACGGGGAGAGAGAGACACGGGGAGAGAGAGACACGGGGAGTGAGAGACACGGGGAGAGAGAGACACGGGGAGAGGGAGACACGGGGAGTGAGAGACACAGGGAGAGAGAGACATGGGGAGAGAGACACAGGGAGAGAGAGACACGGGGAGTGAGAGACACGGGGAGAAAGAGACACGGGGAGTGAGAGACACGGGGAGAGAGACACGGGGAGACACGCGGGGAGACACGGTGAGAGAGAGACACGGGGAGAGAGAGACACGGGGAGAGAGACACGAGGAGAGAGAGACACGGGGAGAGAGAGACACGGGGAGAGAGAGACACGGAGAGAGAGACACAGGGAGTGAGAGACACGCGGGGAGAGAGAGACACGGGGAGTGAGACACGGGGAGAGAGACACGGGGAGAGAGAGACACGGGGAGAGAGAGAGATACGGGGAGAGAGAGACACGGGGAGAGAGAGAGACACAGGGAGAGAGAGACACAGGGAGAGAGAGACACGGGGAGAGTGAGACACGGGGAGTGAGAGACATGGGGAGTGAGAGACATGGGGAGTGAGAGACACGGGGAGAGAGACACGGGGAGTGAGTGGGTGAGTAAGTCTCACACAGGTAAACCACGCTGGTGAGTAGTTGGTGAGTAGTTGGTGAGTAGGTGGTGAGTAGTTGGTGAGTAGGTGGTGAGTAGTTGGTGAGTAGGTGGTGAGTAGTTGGTGAGTAGGTGGTGAGTAGGTGGTGAGTAGTTGGTGAGTAGGTGGTGAGTAGTTGGTGAGTAGCTGGTGAGTAGGTGGTGAGTAGTTGGTGAGTAGGTGGTGAGTAGTTGGTGAGTAGCTGGTGAGTAGGTGGTGAGTAGGTGGTGAGTAGCTGGTGAGTAGTTGGTGAGTAGCTGGTGAGTAGGTGGTGAGTCGGTGGTGAGTAGGTGGTGAGTAGGTGGTGAGTAGTTGGTGAGTAGGTGGTGAGTAGGTGGTGAGTAGCTGGTGAGTAGGTGGTGAGTAGGTGGTGAGTAGGTGGTGAGTAGCTGGTGAGTAGGTGGTGAGTAGGTGGTGAGTAGCTGGTGAGTAGCTGGTGAGTAGGTGGTGAGTAGTTGGTGAGTAGCTGGTGAGTAGCTGGTGAGTAGGTGGTGAGTAGCTGGTGAGTAGGTGGTGAGTAGTTGGTGAGTAGGTGGTGAGTAGTTGGTGAGTAGCTGGTGAGTAGGTGGTGAGTAGGTGGTGAGTAGCTGGTGAGTAGGTGGTGAGTAGTAGGTGAGTAGGTGGTGAGTAGGTGGTGAGTAGCTGGTGAGTAGCTGGTGAGTAGGTGGTGAGTAGGTGGTGAGGAGCTGGTGAGTAACGCTCACCTTCCCACACAGGTAAACCACGCTGGTGAGTAGCTGGTGAGTAGCTGGTGAGTAGTTGGTGAGTAGGTGGTGAGTCGGTGGTGAGTAGGTGGTGAGTAGTTGGTGAGTAGGTGGTGAGTAGCTGGTGAGTAGGTGGTGAGGAGCTGCTGAGTAACGCTCACCTTCCCACACAGGTAAACCACGCTGGTGAGTAGTTGGTGAGTAGTTGGTGAGTAGGTGGTGAATAGCTGGTGAGTAGCTGGTGAGGAGCTGGTGAGTAACGCTCACCTTCCCACACAGGTAAACCACGCTGGTGAGTAGTTGGTGAGTAGCAGGTGAGTAGCTGGTGAGTAGGTGGTGAGTAGCTGGTGAGTAGCTGGTGAGTAGGTGGTGAGTAACGCTCACCTTCCCACACAGGTAAACCACGCTGGTGAGTAGCTGGTGAGTAGCTGGTGAGTCGGTGGTGAGTAGGTGGTGAGTAGGTGGTGAGGAGCTGGTGAGTAACGCTCACCTTCCCACACAGGTAAACCACGCTGGTCAGTAGGTGGTGAGTAGCTGGTGAGTAGGTGGTGAGTAGGTGGTGAGTAGCTGGTGAGTAGTTGGTGAGGAGCTGGTGAGTAGTTAGTGAGGAGCTGGTGAGTAGCTGGTGAGTAGGTGGTGAGCAGTTGGTGAGTAGCTGGTGAGTAGGTGGTGAGTTGGTGGTGAGTAACGCTCACCTTCCCACACAGGTAAACCACGCTGGTGAGTAGCTGGTGAGTAGTTGGTGAGTTGGTGGTGAGTAACGCTCACCTTCCCACACAGGTAAACCACGCTGGTGAGTAGTTGGTGAGTAGCTGGTGAGTAGCTGGTGAGTAGGTGGTGAGGAGCTGGTGAGTAGCTGGTGAGTAACGCTCACCTTCCCACACAGGTAAACCACGCTGGTGAGTAGGTGGTGAGTAGCTGGTGAGTAGCTGGTGAGTAGCTGGTGAGTAGTTGGTGAGGAGCTGGTGAGTAGGTGGTGAGTTGGTGGTGAGTAGGTGGTGAGTAGCTGGTGAGTAGGTGGTGAGTAGTTGGTGAGTTGGTGGTGAGTAACGCTCACCTTCCCACACAGGTAAACCACGCTGGTGAGTAGGTGGTGAGTATCTGGTGAGTTGGTGGTGAGTAGCTGGTGAGTAACGCTCACCTTTCCACACAGGTAAACCACGCTGGTGAGTAGGTGGTGAGTAGGTGGTGAGTAACGCTCACCTTCCCACACAGGTAAACCACGCTGGTGAGTAGGTGGTGAGTAGGTGGTGAGTAGCTGGTGAGTAGTTGGTGAGTAGCTGGTGAGTAGCTGGTGAGTAGCTGGTGAGTAGGTGGTGAGTTGGTGGTGAGTAACGCTCACCTTCCCACACAGGTAAACCACGCTGGTGAGTAGTTGGTGAGTAGCTGGTGAGTAGGTGGTGAGTATCTGGTGAGTAGGTGGTGAGTAACGCTCACCTTCCCACACAGGTAAACCACGCTGGTGAGTAGGTGGTGAGTAGCTGGTGAGTAGTTGGTGAGTAGGTGGTGAGTAGCTGGTGAGTAGGTGGTGAGGAGCTGGTGAGTAGGTGGTGAGTATCTGGTGAGTAGGTGGTGAGTAGTTGGTGAGTAGCTGGTGAGTAACGCTCACCTTCCCACACAGGTAAACCATGCTGGTGAGTAGGTGGTGAGTAGCTGGTGAGTAGTTGGTGAGTATCTGGTGAGTAGGTGGTGAGTAGTTGGTGAGTAGCTGGTGAGTAACGCTCACCTTCCCACACAGGTAAAACACGCTGGTGAGTAGGTGGTGAGTATCTGGTGAGTAGTTGGTGAGGAGCTGGTGAGTAACGCTCACCTTCCCACACAGGTAAACCACGCTGGTGAGTAGTTGGTGAGTAACTGGTGAGTAGGTGGTGAGTAGTTGGTGAGGAGCTGGTGAGTAGTTGGTGAGTAGGTGGTGAGTAGCTGGTGAGTAGCTGGTGAGTAGGTGGTGAGTAGGTGGTGAGTAGTTGGTGAGTAGGTGGTGAGTAGCTGGTGAGTAACGCTCACCTTCCCACACAGGTAAACCACGCTGGTGAGTAGGTGGTGAGTAGCTGGTGAGTAGCTGGTGAGTAACGCTCACCTTCCCACACAGGTAAACCACGCTGGTGTCGGCATCGTAGAAGGGCAGAAGAACGCCGTTGCTGGAGTCCATGTCCTGCTGGATCAGCGGCTCCTCCATGTTCGCCTGGGTCATGCGCACGGGGGTCACGGGGTCACGGGGTCACACGCACAGGGGTCACGGGGTCACACGCACGGGGTCACACACACGGGGTCACGGCCACGGGGTCACACGCACAGGGGTCACGGGGGCACGCACGGGGTCATGGGGTCACGCACGGGGTCACGTGCACGGGGGTGTGTGTGTCTGTGTGTGTGTGTGCGTGTGTGTGTCTGCGTGCGTGTGTGTCTGTGTGTGTGTGTCTGTGTGTGCGTGTCTGTGTCTGCGTGCGTGTGAGTGTGTGTGTGTGACTGTGTGTGTGTGACTGTGTGTGTCTGTCTGCGTGTGTGTGTGGGTGTCTGTGTGTCCGTGTGTGTGTGTCTGCGTGTGTGTCTGTGTGTGTGTGTGTCTGCGTGTGTGCGTGTGTGTGTCACTGTGTATGTGTGTGTCTGCGTGTGTCTGCGTGTGTGGTGACTGTGTGTGTGTGTCTATGTGTGTGTGTGTGTCTGTGTGTGTGTATCTGTCTGTGTGTGTGGTGACTGTGTGTGTGCGTGTGTCTGTGTGTATCTGTCTGTGTGTATCTGTGTGTGTATGTGGTGACGGTGTGTGTGTGTGTGTGTCTGTGTGTGTGGTGACTGTGTGTGTGTGTGTGTATCTGTCTGTGTGTGTGGTGACTGTGTGTGTGCGTGTGTGTGTGTGTCTGCGTGTGTGTATCTGTCTGTGTGTGTGGTGACTGTGTGTGTGCGTGTGTCTGTGTGTGTCTGCGTGTGTGTATCTGTCTGTGTGTGTGTGTCTGTGTGTGTCTGCGTGTGTGTATCTGTCTGTGTGTGTGGTGACTGTGTCTGTACCGGGTCCCACAGCGCCAGCTGTCTCTCGCTCATCCGGCTGAATCCGGTCGTGAAGATTTTGCCGTCCGCCATGAACACGGCCCGCATCGGACGGGCGCCATCGTGAGCCTTGTCCTTCTCCTGCACGCCCAGTCACCACGGCAACGGCACGGCCGGGTCACCGCGGCAACGGCACGGCCCAGTCACCACGGCAACGGCGCGGCCGAGTCACCACGGCAACGGCACGGCCGAGTCACCACGGCAACGGCGCGGTCGCCACGGCGAAGGCGCGGCGGGGTCGCCGGGGGCGACGGGGATCGCAAAGCGAGGAGTGGCTGAGCGAGCGGGTGAGTGAGTGAGTGGGTGGGTGAGTGAGTGAGCGGGTGAGTGAGTGAGTGGGTGAGTGGACGGGTGAGTGAATGAGTGAGTGGGTGAGTGACCGAGTGGGTGAGTGAGTGAGTGAGCGGGTGAGCGAGTGAGTGGGTGAGTGAGTGAGCGGGTGAGCGAGTGAGTGAGTGAGTGGGTGAGTGACCGAGTGGGTGAGTGAGTGAGTGAGTGAGCGGGTGAGCGAGTGAGTGGATGAGTGAGTGAGCGGGTGAGCGAGTGAGCGAGTGAGTGAGTGAATGAGCGTGTGAGCGAGTGAGTGGGTGAGTGAGTGGGTGGGTGAGTGAGCGGGTGAGCGAGTGAGTGGGTGAGTGAGTGAGTGAGTGACCGAGCGGACGAGCGAGTGAGTGGGTGAGCACGTGACCGAGCGGGTGAGTGGGTGAGCACGTGACCGAGCGGGTGAGCCCTCACCATGACGATGTCTCCCTTGCGAGGGTCTATGACTCTTAGCTTCTTGTCTTTGCAGGCCGTGCAGATGCGGCTGCCGTCACGGTTCCAGCTGACGCTGTAGATGAGGTCCGGGTGCAGGTCAAGGGTCACCAGCGGCTGCTCCGTGCCCACGTTCCACACCATCACCAGGTTGTCACAACCTACACCACACACACACACAGTCACAGTCACACACAAACACACACACAGTCACACACACAGTCACACACACACAGTCACACACACAGTCACACACACACAGTCACACACAAACACACACACAGTCACACACACAGATAGACACACACACACAGTCACACACACAAACACACACACAGTCACACACACACCATCACCAGGTTGTCACAACCTACACCACACACAGACACACACACAGTCACACACACAATCACACACACACCATCACCAGGTTGTCACAACCTACACCACACACAGACACACAGTGACACACACAGTCACACACACACAGTGACACACACAGTCACACACACACACACACAGTCACACACAGTCACACACACACACAGTGACACACACAGTCACACACAGTGACACACACACACAGTCACACACGCAGATAGACACACACACAGTCACACACACACACACAGTCACACAGTCACACAGTCACACACAGTCACACAGTCACACAGTCACACAGTCACACACACAGTCACACACACACACACAGTGACACACACAGTCACACACAGTGACACACACAGTGACACACACAGTCACACACAGTCACACACACACAGTCACACACACACACACAGTCACACACACAGATAGACACACACACAGTCACACACACACAGTCACACACACAGATAGACACACACACAGTCACACACACACACAGTCACACACACACACACAGTCACACACACACACACAGTCACACAGTCACACACACACACAGTCACACAGTCACACACACACACAGTCACCAGGTTGTCACAACCTACATCACACACACACACAGACACACAGTCACACAGTCGTGGTGGTGAGCGTGGTGGTGGTGAGCGTGGTGGTGGTGGTGGTGAGCGTGGTAGTGGTGGTGAGCATGGTGGTGAGCGTGATGGTGGTGGTGATGAGCATGATGGTGAGCGTGATGGTGGTGAGCGTGGTGGTGAGCGTAATGGAGAGTGGTGGTGGTGATGGTGAGCATGATGGTGGTGAGCGTGATGGTGGTGAGCGTGGTAGTGGTGAGCGTGGTAGTGGTGAGCGTGGTGGTGAGCGTGGTGGTGAGCGTGGTGGTGGTGAGCGTGGTGAGCGTGGTGAGCGTGGTGGTGGTGAGCGTGGTGAGCGTGGTGATGGTTGTGAGCGTGATGGTGGTGAGCGTGATGGTGGTGAGCGTGATGGTGGTGAGCATGGTGGTGGTGAGCGTGGTGGTGGTGGTGAGCATGGTGGTGGTGAGCGTGGTGGTGGTGGTGAGCATGGTGGTGGTGAGCGTGGTGATGGTGGTGAGAGTGGTGGTGGTGAGCGTGGTGGTGGTGGTGATGGTTGTGAGCGTGATGGTGGTGAGCGTGGTGGTGAGCGTGGTGGTGAGCGTGGTGGTGAGCGTGGTGGTGGTGAGCGTGGTGGTGATGGTGAGCGTGGTGGTTGGGGTGAGCGTGGTGGTGGTGAGCGTGGTGGTGGTGGTGAGCGTGGTGATGGTGGTGAGCGTGGTGGTGAGCGTGGTGAGCGTGGTGGTGGTGAGCGTGGCACCGGCACTAAGGAGGACATTGCGAGCTGTGGGGTGCCACGTGACGATTCCGACGCGCTTGGTGGTGAGCGTGGTGGTGGTGGTGAGCGTGGTGGTGGTGAGCGTGGTGGTGGTGAGCGTGGTGGTGGTGAGCGTGGTGGTGAGTGTGGTGGTGGTGAGTGTGGTGGTGGTGAGCGTGGTGGTGGTGAGCGTGGTGGTGGTGGTGAGCGTGGTGGTGAGCGTGGTGGTGGTGGTGAGCGTGGCACCAGCACTAAGGAGGACATTGCGAGCCGTGGGGTGCCACGTGACGATTCCGACGCGCTTGGAGTGACCCTCCAGCGTGGCCACTGGCTCCGTCAGCGGCAGGGACAGGCCGTGCTCGGGCACCTGCCAAACCTACAGGCGTCACACACACAGTGACACACACACAGTCACACACACAGTTACACACACACACACAGGCGTCACACACAGACACAGGGACAGGCCGTGCTCGGGCACCTGCCAAACCTACAGGCGTCACACACACAGTCACACACACACACACACACGTCACACACACAGTCACACACACACAGGCGTCACACACACACACACACAGGGACAGGCCGTGCTCAGGCACCTGCCAAACCTACAGGCGTCACACACACAGTCACACACACACACACGTCACACACACACACAGGCGTCACACACACACACACAGACACAGGGACAGGCCGTGCTCAGGCACCTGCCACACCTACAGGCGTCACACACACACAGTCACACACACAGGCGTCACACACACAGGCGTCACACACACACAGTCACACACAGACACAGGGACAGGCCGTGCTCAGGCACCTGCCAAACCTACAGGCGTCACACACACAGTCACACACACAGTCACACACAGTCACAGGCGTCACACACACACACAGAGACACAGGGACAGGCCGTGCTCAGGCACCTGCCAAACCTACAGGCGTCACACACACAGGCGTCATACACACAGGCGTCACACACAGACACACACACAGACACAGGGACAGGCCGTGCTCAGGCACCTGCCACACCTACAGGCGTCACACACACACACAGTCACACACAGGCGTCACACACACACAGGCGTCACACACACACAGTCACACACAGGCGTCATACACACACAGGCGTCACACACACAGGCGTCACACACACACACACAGGCGTCACACACAGTCACACACACACACACAGACACAGGGACAGGCCGTGCTCAGGAACCTGCCAAACCTACAGGCGTCACACACACAGTGACACACACAGTCACACACACACACAGTCACACACACAGTCACACACACAGTGACACACACACACAGTCACACACACAGTCACACACACAGTGACACACACACAGTCACACACACACAGTCACACACACACAGTCACACACAGGCGTCACACACACACACAGACACACACACAGTCACACACACATCACACACACACAGACACACACACAGAGACAGGCCGTGCTCGGGCACCTGCAACACCTACAGGCGTCACACACACAGGCATCACACACAGACACAGGCGTCACACACACACACACACAGGCGTCACACACAGTCACACACACAGAGACACAGGGACAGGCCGTGCTCGGGCACCTGCCACACCTACAGGCGTCACACACACAGGCGTCACACACACAGTCACACACAGGCGTCACACACACACACAGACACACACACAGTCACACACACATCACACACACAGAGACACACACACACACAGACACAGGGACAGGCCGTGCTCAGGCACCTGCCAAACTACAGGCGTCACACACACAGGCTTCACACACACAGGCGTCATACACAGTCACACACACGTCACACACACACACAGTCATACACAGGCGTCACACACAGACACACACACAGGCGTCACACACACACACAGACACACACACAGTCACACACACATCACACACACACAGACACAGGGACAGGCCGTGCTCGGGCACCTGCCAAACCTACAGGCGTCACACACACACAGGCGTCATACACACAGGCGTCACACACACACAGGCGTCACACACACAGGCGTCACATACACAGGCGTCACACACACAGGCGTCACACACACACACAGACACAGGGACAGGCTGTGCTCGGGCACCTGCCAAATCTACAGGCATCACACACACACAGGCGTCACACACACAGGCGTCATACACACACAGACACACACACACACAGGCGTCATACACAAGCGTCATACACACAGTCACACACACAGTCACACACACAGGTGTCACACACACATCACACACAGGCGTCACACACAGACACACAGGCGTCACACAGACACACACAGGCGTCACACACAGGCGTCACACACACACAGGCGTCACACACAGACACACAGGCGTCACACAGACACACACAGGCGTCACACACACACAGACACAGGGACAGGCCGTGCTCAGGCACCTGCCAAACCTACAGGGCGTCACACACACACAGTAACACACACATAGGCGTCACACACAGACACACACACACACAGTCACACACAGGCGTCACACACACAGGCGTCATACACAGTCACACACACGTCACACAGTCACACACAGGCGTCACACACACAGTCACACACAGGTGTCACACACACACACAGACACACACAGGCGTCACACACACAGGCGTCATGCACAGGCGTCACACACAGTCACACACACACACACAGAGACACAGGGACAGGCCGTGCTAGGCACCTGCCACACCTACAGGTGTCACACACACACACAGTCACACACAGGCATCACACACACACACAGGCGTCACACACACACAGGCGTCACACAAAGACACACACACAGGTGTCACACACACAGGCGTCACACACAGACACACAGGCGTCACACACACATCACACACAGTCACACACACACACATCACACACACACACAGTCACACACAGACACACAGGCGTCACACACACACAGGCGTCATACGCACAGGTGTCACACACAGACACACACACAGGCGTCACAGAGACACACAGGCGTCACACACAGACACAGGCGTCACACACACACACAGGCATCACACACACACACAGGCGTCACACACAGTCACACACACAGAGACACAGGGACAGGCCGTGCTTGGGCACCTGCCACACCTACAAGGCGTCACACACACAGGCGTCATACACACAGGCGTCATACACAGAAACACATGCACAGAGACACAGGCATCATACACACAAAGGCGTCATACACAGACAGACACACACACACAGGCGTCACACACAGGCGTCATACACAGAAACACATGCACAGAGACACAGGCATCATACACACAAAGGCGTCATACACAGACAGACACACACACACAGGCGTCACACACAGGCGTCATACACAGATACACATGCACAGAGACACAGGCATCATACACACACAGGCGTCATACACAGACAGACACACACACAGGCGTCACACACAGACACACACACACACAGGCGTCATACACAGGTGTCACACAAAGACAAAGATCCCCCGTATAGCCTTAACAGACTGTAGGGGCAAGTGCTGTTAGCGAGCACCTATGAAGGCCGGAACGGTACACGAGGGGGTGGGTGGCCAGCACCACGCCCGACCGCCTTTGTCTCCCCAGTGGCGATGTTTTTATCCACCGCACCAGGTACTAATTTGAGGCTGAGTCGACCTAGGGGAGGCCCGGGACCGGTTCAGATAATCGTCACTGGTGTTGGCCGTGAGCGGGAATCGAACCCGGGTCGCCAGGTTCATAGGGCAGTGTAGCGCTAACCGCTACACTACCACTCCCCATACACACACACACGGTGACACACGCACACACACACAGGCATCATACACAGACACACACACACAGGCGTCATACACAGACACACACACACAGGCGTCACACACATATCACACACGCAGGCATCACACACGCAGGCATCACACACGCGCAGACACACGTTACACACACACAGACACTCGTCACACACAGGCATCACACACACAGGCATTACACACACAGGCCTCACACACAGACAAAGGCGTGGTGATGGTGGTGGTGGTGATGATGATGGTGATGATGGTGGTGGTGGTGGTGGTGATGATGGTGGTGGTGGTGATCGTGATGGTGGTGGTGATGGCGATTGTGGCCGTGATGATGATAGTGGTGATTGTGATGACTGTGACGATGGTGGTGGTGGCGAGGAGCGGGTGAGCAGTGGGGGTGAGGAGCGAGCGCCACTCACCATGACGGTGCAGTCCTCACTGCCGCTGGCTATGACGTCGTCGTTGTGAGGGCACCAGTCGATGTCCAGCACGGGAGCGGTGTGACCACACACCGTGGGGTAGGTCTTGTCTATACGCCCCGTCTGAGTAGTACACAGACACACACACAGTCACATAGACACACACACATAGACACATAGACACACACACAGACACACACACCGTGAGGTAGGTCTTGTCTATACGCCCCGTCTGAGTAGTACACAGACACACACACACATAGACACACACACACATAGACACACACACACCGTGGGGTAGGTCTTGTCTATACGCCCCGTCTGAGTAGTACACAGACACACACACAGTCACACACAGACACAGACACAAAGATCAAAGACAAAGATCCCCCATATAGCCTGTAACAGACTGTAGGGGCAAGTGCTGTTAGCGAGCAGCACCTGTGAAGGCCGGAACGGTACACGAGGGGGTGGGTGGCCAGCACCACGCCCGACCGCCTTTGTCTCCCTAGTGGCGATGTTTACACACCGCACCAGGTACTCATTTGAGGCTGAGTCGACCTAGGGGAGGCCCGGGACCGGTTCAGATAATCGTCACTGGTGTTGGCCGTGAGCGGGAATCGAACCCGGGTCGCCAGGTTCATAGCGCAGCGCGCTAACCGCTACACTACCGCTCCCCACTACACACAGACACACACACACACACAGTCACACAATCACACACAACAACCGCCATTCGCCACTAAGTGGCGGTGACGTCACCACGACGCTTGTGCCAGGCCATGTGCACCCTGAGGCCACGTGAAGTGTCGAACGCCCGCTGGCAGGAGGTCACTGGGCAGACCCAGCAGGTGCCACGGGTCGACTGACTGAGATGACTGGCTGATGCACCACCTGTGCCCCCTACTGTGCCAACCTGCTGTGCTTTAGCCACCCGGCGCTCCGCTCGTTGTTCTGAGCGTCGCTCCTCCGCCCTCCGTTGTTGTTGGAGGGCGACTGCCTCCAACTGCCCAGTAGCGTCCTTCACGAGCCTCCTCCACAGAGGCCGATCTTGACACCGCTGGTACCGGTCATCGGCAAGTCCACTCAGCTCCACGACCTCCTGTACCGCATCACTCCATCTCTTCTCTAGCCCGTGCCGCGCCCGCTTAGCCCCCTCAATCCGGCCGAACAAAAGCTGTTTAGGCATGCGGTGGCTGGGCATGCGGGCTACATGACCCAGCCATCGCAGCCTTGCCTGCCGGAGGAGCTCACCGATGGGACCCTGCCCAGATCTTTCAAGGATTTTTGAGCTCCTCACACAATCCAGTCTGGTTAAACCCAGGATGGATCGTAGGCAGGCCAGCCTAAATGTTTCTAACCGGCGAAGATGTTCCATTAGTGGGGTCCACGTTTCGCAAGCGTAGAGATGGGAGGGAATGACCGTGGCCGAGAAGACCTGAAGCTTAGTGCGGAGCGACAGACCAGGTAGCTCCCACACAGCGTTACGCAACCGATGAAAAGATATTGCCGCTCGACTGATTCGGAGTGAGACCTCTGCTGTTAAACTGGAGCCGGTAATAAGCACACTGCCCAGGTATGGGAAACTCTCCACTCTCTCCACAACTGCCCCATCACCGATTGGGAGTTGTGGGGGTGGAGTGTCCGATGGTACAAAATACCCAGGCAGGTGCTTAGTTTTGGTGGGGCTGATGGTAAGGCCCCACCTCTTAGTGGCACGCTCCAGTCTCAGCAGCAGCGTCTCCAACTCCTCCTCCGAATGTGCAGCTATTACAAAATCATCAGCATACATAACGTGGTTGAGCAATAGGGACCCATCCCTTGACCGCACCCGGGCGTCGATCAGCCTCCCATTATATCTGTACCATATGGAGATTCCCCCGGTACAGCTATTGAAGGCTTCACGAACTACGTGGTCAAAATAGATGTTAAATAATGTGGGAGCCAGAGGACATCCCTGTCGCACCCCAAGGTGAACAGGGAATGGCTCTGACTCCCGGCCACGTAGTTTTACCCGGGCCCGCTCACCATCATGAAGGTCCTTAATGATCGTGAGCAGAGGGTCAGGTACTCCAAAAGCACAAAGAACAACCCAGAGCCCCGGCCTACTGATGGTATCATAGGCCTTGAGCAGGTCAATAAAGCAGAGATGTAGGTCTTGTTGGAATTCCCTACACCTCTGTTGTAGCAGACGGACAGAAAATATGGCATCTGTGCAGGACCGCCCGTTCCTGAAACCGCATTGGGCTCCGCAAGCCTCTCCTCAGCGTGCCTGGCAAGGCGATGTTGAATAATCCTTGCCAGGACCTTTCCCGGCTCACTGAGGAGTGAGATGCCCCTGTAGTTGTTACAGTCTGTGCGGTCCCCCTTCTTAAAAAGGGGGACCACCAGGGCATCCTTCTAATCCTGCGGAACCCATCCAGTGGTCCAGACTGTTGTTATGATGTCATATAGGGCAGTCTGTGCACAAACGCCGCCCTCCCTCAGCATTTCGCTTGGGAGATCATCTCTGCCCGCTGCCTTTCCTGGTCTCAGACTCCGGATCGCCTTCAGTACTTCCTCAACAGATGGCACCTCAGCCAGCTACTCACAGGGGGTGACTTCTTCCAATATTTGAGGCACCGCAGCCTCAGCAGGGTCATCCTCACTTTGTGCCACGATATCTTCCTGGCCGAGGGATTTTCCCTCCCCTAGGACCTCAGAGAAATGCTCAGCAAATCTGCAAACCTGTTCCTGGGGGTCGGAGATTGGATCACCGTTTTTTCCCCTAATGATGGAAATAGGTGTGGCGCTGCAGGTTACTTTTTTGATGGAGTTAAATAGTCACACACACACAGTCACGCACACACACATAGACACACACACAGTCACACACACAGTCACACACACACACATAGACACACACACCGTGGGGTAAGTCTTGTCTATACACCCCGTCTGAGTAGTACACAGTCACACACACACACACATAGACACACACACACAGTCACACACACAGTCACACACACACATAGACACACACACAGTCACACACACACACATAGACACACAGTCACACACACACAGAGTCACACAGTCACACACACACAGAGTCACACACACACACACACAGTCACACACACAGACAGTCACACACACACAGTCACACACACACACACAGTCACACACACACACACAGTCACACACACACAGTCACACACACAGTCACACACACAGTCACATACACACAGACACACACACATAGACACACACACAGATAGACACACACACAGATAGACACACACACATAGACACACACACACAGACACACACATAGTCTCACACACACATAGACACTCACACATAGACAAACACACAGCCACACACACACACAGTCACACACACAGTCACACACACAGTCACACAGTCACACACACAGTCATACACATAGTCATACACATAGACACACACATAGACACATACACACATAGATAGACACACACACATAGATACACACACAGACACACACAGAGATAGGTGAGTGGGAGTAGGTGAGCGAGGGTAGGTGAGTAGGTGAGTGGGGGTAGGTGAGTGGGGTAGGTGAGTAGGTGGGAGGGGGTAGGTGAGTGGGGGTAGGAGAGTGGGGTAGGTGAGTAGGTGAGTGGGGGTAGGTGAGTGGGGGTAGGTGAGTGGGGGTAGAAGAGTGGGTGAGTGGGGTAGGTGAGTGGGGGTAGGTGAGTGGGGTAGGTGAGTGGGTGAGTGGGGGTAGGTGAGTGGGGTAGGTGAGTGGGTGAGTGGGGGTAGGTGAGTGGGGTAGGTGAGTAGGTGAGTGGGGGTAGGTGAGTGGGGGTAGGTGAGTGGGGGTAGGTGAATGGGGGTAGGTGAGTGGGGGTAGGTGAGTGGGGTAGGTGAGTAGGTGAGTGGGGGTAGGTGAGTGGGGGTAGGAGAGTGGGTGAGTGGGGTAGGTGAGTGGGGTAGGTGAGTAGGTGAGTGGGGGTAGGTGAGTAGGTGAGTGGGGGTAGGTGAGTAGGTGAGTGGGGGTAGGTGAGTGGGGTAGGTGAGTGGGGTAGGTGAGTAGGTGAGTGGGGGTAGGTGAGTAGGTAAGTGGGGGTAGGTGAGTGGGGGTAGGTGAGTGGGGGTAGGTGAGTGGGAGTAGGTGAGTAGGTGAGTAGGGGTAGGTGAGTAGGTGAGTGGGAGTAGGTGAGTAGGTGAGTAGGGATAGGTGAGCGGGGTGGGGATTGGTTGATGTACAGAGAGTGGAATGCTGTACTTCGGCATTGCAAGCTCACACACACAGACACACACACACAGACACACACAGACCATCGCTCACACACAGACCATCGCTCACACACACAGATACCATCGCTTTTACACAGATACCATCGCTTTTACACAGGCAAAGATCCCTCCTGGTAGCCTTCATGGACTGCGAGGGCAAGTACACAAACTAAACTATGTTTGTGTGTGTTTGTGTGTGTGTGTGGTTGTGTGTGTGTTTGTGTGGTTGTGTGTGTTTGTGTGTGCTTGTGTGTGTTTGTGTGTGTTTGTGTGCGTGTGTGTGTGGTTGTGTGTGTGTGTTTGTGTGGTTGTGTGTGTTCGTGTGTGTTTATGTGTGTATTTGTGTGGTTGTGTGTGTGTTTGTGTGCGTGTGTGTGTATTTTTTGTGGTTGTGTGTAGTTCGTGTGTGTTTGTGTGTGTTTGTGTGTTTGTGTGGTTGTGTGGTTGTGTGCGTGTGTGTTTGTGTGTTTGTGTGGTTGTGTGTGTTCGTGTGTGGTTGTGTGTGGTTGTGTGTTTGTGTGTGTTTGTGTGTGCTTGTGTGAGTGCTTGTGTGAGTGGTTGTGTGTGTTTGTTACTAGGGTGTAGCTGTTTATTCAGAGAAGCGACCTACTACCCATCAACGAATGATGGCAGCACAGCCACGTGGCTGATATCATCATCGTCATCATCATAGTCGAGACCCACAGAGACCGACAGAGACCGACAGAGACCCACGGATACCCACAGAGACCCACAGAGACCCACAGAGACTCACAGAGATCCACGGAGACCCACAGAGTCCCACAGAGACCGACAGAGACCTACAGAGACCGACAGTCCCACAGAGACCCACAGAGACCCACGGAGACCGACAGAGACCCACAGAGACCCACAGAGACCGACAGAGACCCACGGAGACCCACAGAGACCCACAGAGACCCACAGAGACTCACAGAGACCCACAGAGTCCCACAGAGACCCACAGAGATTCATAGGGACCCACAGAGACCGACAGAGACCCACAGAGACCCACAGAGACTCACAGAGTCCCACAGAGACCCACAAAGACTCACAGAGACCCACAGAGACCCACAGAGACCCACAGAGACCCACAGAGACTGACAGAGTCCCACAGAGACCCACAGAGATTCATAGGGACCCACAGAGATCGACAGAGACCCACAGAGTCCCACAGAGATTCATAGGGACGCACGTAGACCCACAGAGACCGACAGAGACCGACAGAGACTTACAGAGACCCACAGAGACTTACAGGGAACCATAGAGACCCACAGAGATTCATAGGGACCCACAGAGACTGACAGAGACCCACAGAGATTCATAGGGACCCACGTAGACTCACAGAGACCCACAGAGACCCACAGAGACCCACAGAGACCCACAGAGACCCACAGAGACTCACAGAGACTCACAAAAACCCAGAGACCCACAGAGACCGACAGAGACCGACAGAGACCCACAGAGACCCACAGAGACTCACAGAGACCCACAGAGACCGACAGAGACCCACAGAGACCCACAGAGACCCACAGAGACTCATAGAGACCCACAGAGACCGACAGACACCCACAGAGACCCACAGAGACTCATAGAGACTCACAGAGACCGACAGAGTCCCACAGAGTCCCACAGAGACCCACAGAGATCCACAGAGATCAACAGACCCACGTGGATTCAGAAACCCACAGAGACCCATAGAGACCTACAGAGACTCACAGAGACCCACAGAGACCCATAGAGACCCACAGGGACCCACAGAGAACCATAGAGACCCACAGAGACCCACAGAGACACACAGACCCACGTAGATTCAGAGACCCACAGAGACCCACATAAACCCATAGAGACCCACAGAAACCCATAGAGACCCACAGGGACCCACAGAGACCCATATACACCCACACTAAAACTAGGCTATGTGTGTGTTACCAGGGTGTAAGTCTCCACTGAGGTGCTGTGTAGCTGTTTATCAGACAGGCGACCTGCTGGACATCGCCAAATGAAAGCAGCTCCACCACGTGGCTGATGTCGTCATCATCGTCATCATGATCGTCACAGCGTGGACATTTACATCAGCAGCTAAACAACTCTTAAACACAGCGTGGTGTGACGCAGATTCTAAACCGGAGGGACCCGGGGAGATAAAATCCACGCAGAGACCACCACGACCTCCTGTAGACCAGGCGAGGTAGCCAACATCTCTCAGGGTAATCGAATCCATGACCTCCTGTAGACCAGGCGAGGTAGCCAACATCTCTCAGGGTAATCGAATCCATGACCTCCTGTAGACCAGGCGTGGTAGTCAACATCTCTCAGGGTAATCGAATCCACGACCTCCTGTAGACCAGGCGTGGTTGTGCTGGTGATGGTGGCAGCAGTGTTTGGTGCTGGTGGTGTTGGTGGTGTTGGTGGTGGTGTTGGTGGTATTTGTGGTGGCGGTGGTGGTGGCGGTGTTGGTGGTGGTGGTTGCGACGTTGGTGGTGGTGTTAGTGTTGGTTGTGGTGGTGTTGGTGGTGTTGGTGGTGGTGTTGGTGGTGTTAGTGTTGGTGGTGGTGTTAGCGTTGGTTGTGGTGGTGGTGTTGGTGGTAGTGTTGGTGGTGTTAGTGTTGGTGGTGGTGTTAGTGGTGGTGGTGTAGGTGGTGTTGGCAGTGTTGGTGGTGTTAGTGTTGGTGGTGGTGTTGGTTGTGGCGTTGGTGGTGTTGGTGGTGTTTGTTGTGGCGTTGGTGGCGGTGGTGGCGTTGGCCGTGAGCGGGAATCAAAGTCGGGATCCTGGGCCTAGCTAGCACTAGGAGCTAGGCACCTGGGCCTAGCTAGCACTAGGAGCTAGGCACCTGGGCCTAGCTAGCACTAGGAGCTAGGCACCTGGGCCTAGCTAGCACTAAGAGCTAGGCACCTGGGGCTAGCTAGCACTAGGAGCTAGACACCTAGCTAGCTAGCACTAGGAGCTAGACACCTAGCTAGCTAGCACTAGGAGCTAGACACCTAGCTAGCACTAAGAGCTAGGCACCTGGGGCTAGCTAGCACTAGGAGCTAGACACCTAGCTAGCTAGCACTAGGAGCTAGACACCTAGCTAGCTAGCACTAGGAGCTAGACACCTAGCTAGCTAGCACTAGGAGCTATACACTGGCTAGCACTAGGAGCTAGACACCTAGCTAGCACTAGGAGCTAGGCACCTAGCTAGCACTAGGAGCTAGACACCTAGCTAGCACTAGGAGCTAGACACCTGGCTAGCACTAGGAGATAGACACCTAGCTAGCACGAGGAGCTAGACACCGAGCTAGCACTAGGAGCTAGACACCTAGCTAGCACTAGGAGCTAGACACCTAGCTAGCACTAGGAGCTAGGCACCTGGGCCTAGCTGCTAGCACTAGGAGCTAGACACCTAGCTAGCACTAGGAGCTAGACACCTGGGCCTAGCTGCTAGCACTAGCAGCTAGGCACCTAGCTAGCACTAGGAGCTAGGCACCTAGCTAGCACTAGGAGCTAGGCACCTGGGCCTAGCTGCTAGCACTAGGAGCTAGACACCTAGCTAGCACTAGGAGCTAGACACCTGGGCCTAGCTGCTAGCACTAGGAGCTAGACACCTAGCTAGCACTAGGAGCTAGACACCTGGGCCTAGCTGCTAGCACTAGGAGCTAGACACCTAGCTAGCACTAGGAGCTAGACACCTGGGCCTAGCTGCTAGCACTAGGAGCTAGACACCTAGCTAGCACTAGGAGCTAGACACCTGGGCCTAGCTGCTAGCACTAGGAGCTAGACACCTAGCTAGCACTAGGAGCTAGGCACCTGGCCCTAGCCAGCTCCTAGCTAGCGCTAGGAGCTAGGCACCTAGCTAGCACTAGGAGCTAGACACGTAGCTAGCACTAGGAGCTAGACACCTAGCTAGCGCTAGGAGCTAGACACCTAGCTAGCACTAGGAGCTAGGCACCTAGCTAGCACTAGGAGCTAGACACCTAGCTAGCACTAGGAGCTAGACACCTAGCTAGCACTAGGAGCTAGACACCTAGCTAGCACTAGGAGCTAGACACCTAGCAAGCGCTAGGAGCTAGACACCTAGCTAGCGCTAGGCACCTGGCCCTAGCTAGCACTAGGAGCTAGGCACCTGTCCCTAGCCAGCTCCTAGTTGGCTAGGGCCAGGTGCCTAGCTGCTAGCACTAGGAGCTAGGCACCTGGCCATAGCCAGCTCCTAGCCAGCTCCTAGCTAGCACTAGGAGCTAGGCACCTGTCCCTAGCCAGCTCCTAGCGCTAGGAGCTGGCTATGGCCCCAGTCGCACCAGGCCGTCCGTCCGTGCTGTCCGCCCCCCCCACCCACCCCCCCCACCCCACCCCCCCCCACCCCTCCGCTACCTTGGAGAGGGGCAGCACGAGGAAGGCTCCGCCCCCGGAGGCGTCCACGATGATGGCGACGAACTTGGGGTTGACGGCGCAGAAGGACGAGTCCCAGGTGGTTCGCGAGACGCGGATGTCATCGTAGCACTGGTCGCTCTTCACCGGCTGCCCAAACACGTGCCGGAACTTGCTCTGCCGCACCACTCGCCGGAAGGACATCGCCAGCGCTGCTGCTACCGCCGCCGCCGCCGCCGCCGCCGCCGCCGCTGCCGCTGGGTTTGGGTGGTGCCGGCGGTGGTGGTGGTGCCGGCGGTGGTGGTGGTGGTGGTGGCGGTGGTGGTGGCGGTGGTCCTGCGAAGTAGAGCTGGGGAGAAAACACAAGTGGGGAATGTGAATCTGTGGGTCTCTGTGGTGGGGTCTGTGGTGGTCTCTGTGGGTCTCTGTGGGGGTCTGTGGGGGTCTGTGGGGGTCTGTCGGGGTCTGTGGGGGTCTAAGGGTCTCTGTGTGGTGGTGAGTCTAAGGGTCTCTGTGGGTCTAAGGGTCTCTGTGTGGTGGTGAGTCTATGGGTCTGTGTGTGGTGGTGAATCTATGGGTCTGTGTGTGGTGGTGAGTCTGTGGGTCTGTGGGTCTCTGTGTGGTGGTGAGTCTATGGGTCTGTGGGTCTATGGGTCTGTGGGTCTCTGTGTGGTGGTGAGTCTATGGGTCTGTGGGTCTATGGGTCTGTGGGTCTCTGTGTGGTGGTGAGTCTAAGGGTCTGTGAGTCTATGGGTCTGTGGGTCTCTGTGAATGGTGAGTCTATGGGTCTGTGAGTCTATGGGTCTCTGTGAGTCTATGGGTCTGTGGGTCTCTGTGTGGTGGTGAGTCTATGGCTCTGTGGATCTATGGGTCTCTGTGTGGTGTGAAGCCTATGGGTCTGTGAGTCTATAGGTCTGTTGGTCTCTGTGTAGTGGTGAGTCTATGGGTCTGTGAGTCTATGGGTCTGTGGGTCTCTGTGAGTGGTGAGTCTATGGGTCTGTGAGTCTATGGGTCTCTGTGAGTCTATGGGTCTGTGGGTCTCTGTGTGGTGGTGAGTCTATGGGTCTGTGAGTCTAAGGGTCTCTGTGAGTCTATGGGTCTGTGGGTCTCTGTGTGGTGGTGAGTCTATGGCTCTGTGGATCTATGGGTCTCTGTGTGGTGTGAAGCCTATGGGTCTGTGAGTCTATGGGTCTGTTGGTCTCTGTGTAGTGGTGAGTCTATGGGTCTGTGAGTCTATGGGTCTGTGGGTCTCTGTGAGGTGGTGAGTCTATGGGTCTGTGAGTCTAAGGGTCTCTGTGAGTCTATGGGTCTGTGGGTCTCTGTGTGGTGGTGAGTCTATGGGTCTATGGGTTTCTGTGTAGTGGTGAGTCTATGGGTCTGTGAGTCTCTGTGTAGTGGTGAGTCTATGGGTCTGTGAGTCTCTGTGTAGTGGTGAGTCTATGGGTCTATGGGTCTCTGTGTAGTGGCGAGTCTATGGGTCTGTGAGCCTATGGGTCTGTGAGTCTATGGGTCTCTGTGAGTCTCGAGTCTATGGGTCTGTGAGTCTATAGGTCTGTGAGTCTATGGGTCTCTGTGGGTCTCTGTGGGTCACTGTGAGTGGTGAGTCTATGGGTCTCTGTGGGTCTCTGTGGGTCTCTGTGTAGTGGTGTGTCTATGGGTCTGTGAGTCTCTGTGTAGTGGTGAGTATATGGGTCTATGAGTCTGTGGGTCTCTGTGAGTGGTGAGTCTATGGGTCTCTGTGGGTCTCTGTGAGTGGTGAGTCTATGGGTCTCTGTGGGTCTCTGTGAGTGGTGAGTCTATGGGTCTCTGTGGGTCTCTGAGGGTCTCTGTGGGTCTCTGTGAGTGGTGAGTCTATGGGTCTCTGTGGGTCTCTGTGGGTCTCTGTGAGTGGTGAGTCTATGGGTCTGTGAGTCTATGGGTCTCTGTGAGTGGTGAGTCTATGGGCTCTGCGAGTGGTGAGTCTATGGGTCTCTGTGGGTCTCTGTGAGTGGTGAGTCTATGGGTCTCTGTGGGTCTCTGTGGGTCTCTGTGGGTCTCTGTGAGTGGTGAGTCTATGGGTCACTGTGGGTCTCTGTGGGTCTCTGTGAGTGGTGAGTCTATGGGTCTGTGAGTCTATGGGTCTCTGTGAGTGGTGAGTCTATGGGCTCTGCGAGTGGTGAGTCTATGGGTCTCTGTGGGTCTCTGTGAGTGGTGAGTCTATGGGTCTCTGTGGGTCTCTGTGGGTCTCTGTGAGTGGTGAGTCTATGGGTCTGTGAGTCTATGGGTCTCTGTGAGTGGTGAGTCTATGGGCTCTGCGAGTGGTGAGTCTATGGGTCTCTGTGGGTCTCTGCGAGTGGTGAGTCTATGGGTCTCTGTGGGTCTCTGTGTGTGGTGAGTCTATGGGTCTCTGTGGGTCTCTGTGAGTGGTGAGTCTATGGGTCTTTGTGGGTCTCTGTGAGTGGTGAGTCTAGGGGTCTCTGTGGGTCTCTGTGAGTGGTGAGTCTATGGGTCTCTGTGGGTCTCTGTGAGTGGTGAGTCTATGGGTCTCTGTGTGACGAGTGCCTGGTGCTGGTGCGTAGCAAACAAGGCCACGGGGGAGAGACAAAGGCGGCCGGGCGTGGCGCTGGCCACCCACCCCCTCCGTGTGTGCCGGGAGCTTTCAGAGGCGATGCTGCTGCTGCTACTCGCAACTACTAACAGCACTTGCCCCGACAAGTTTGCCGAGGCTACACGGGGGACCTTTGTCTTTGGTGGTGTGGGGGGGTTGGTGAACGATTAACCCGTGCGTGACCACACCCTGAGCCGTCACCACCACCACCCTTAACCACTCCACCCCCCTGTCACAGACCCATCACACAGAGAGAGCCATAAACTCATCACACACACATAGACCCATAGACTCATCACACACAGAGAGCCATAGACTCATCACACACAGAGAGCCATAGACTCATCACCACACACAGAGAGCCATAGACTCATCACCACACACAGAGACCCATAGACTCATCACCACACAAAGACCCATAGACTCATCGCACACAGAGAGACCCATACACTCATCACCACACAGAGACCCATAGACTCATCACCACACACAGAGACCCATAGACTCATCACCACACACAGAAACCCATAGACTCACCACACAGCAGAGACCCATAGACTCATCACACGTAGACCCATAGACTCATCACCACACAGAGAGACCCATAGACTCATCACACAGAGACCCATAGACTCATCACACATAGAGACCCATAGACTCACCACACACAGAGACCCATAGACTCATCACACACAGAGACCCATACACTCATCACCACACAGAGACCCATAGACTCATCACCACACAAAGACCCATAGACTCATCACACACAGAGAGGCCCATAGACTCATCACCACACACAGAGACCCATAGACTCATCACCACACACAAAGACCCATAGACTCATCACACACAGAAACCCATAGACTCATCACACAGAGAGACCCATAGACTGACCACACACAGAGTCCCACAGACTCATCACACAGAGACCCACAGACTCATCACACAGAGACCCATAGACTCATCACACACAGAGACCCATAGACTCATCACATAGAGACCTGTAGTCTCATCACCACACAGTGAGCGATAGACTCACGACACAGTGCAACAGAGACTCACGACACACACACAGACACGGAGCGGCGAGTGTGTAACCATTATCCCCGACTCTTCTGTTTGATCGGAAGCTTAACAGGTGAGACAGGTGAGAGGCGCCGAATGACGTAGCGCACACAGGCAAAGGTGTCCCGTGTAGGATCAGCAAAAAACACAGCCTGTAGGGGCAAGTGCTGTCAGTAGTAGCGAGTAGCAGCAGCAGCAGCGTCTATGAAGGCTACCGGCACTGTGGTAGTGGTGGTGGAGGTGGTGGTGATAGTGGGGGTGGTGATGGTAGTGGCGGTGGTGGTAGTGGTGGTAGTGGTGGTGGTAGTGGTGGTGTGGTGGTAGTGGTGGTAGTGGAGGTGGCGGTATTGGTTGTAGTGGTGGTGGTAGTGGTGGTGGTGGTAGTGGTGGGGTGGTAGTGGTGGGGTGGTAGTGGTGGGGTGGTAGTAGTGGTGGTGGTAGTGGTGGTAGTAGTGGTGGTAGTGGTGGGGTGGTAGTAGTGGTAGTGGTGGTGGTAGTGGTAGTGGTGGTAGTAGTGGTAGTGGTGGTGGTAGTGGTGGTAGTAGTGGTAGTGGTGGTAGTGGTAGTAGAGGTAGTGGTTGTAGTGGTGGTGGTAGTGGTGGTGTGGTGGTAGTGGCGGTGGTAGTGGAGGTGGTGGTAGTGGAGGTGGTGGTAGTGGTTGTAGTGGTGGTGGTAGTGGTGGTGGTCTTGGTGGTGTGGTGCTAGTGGTGGTGGTAGTGGAGGTAGTGGTTGTAGTGGTGGTGGTAGTGGTGGTGGTGTGGTGGTGGTGGTAGTGGAGGTGGTGGTAGTGGTTGTAGTGGTGGTGGTAGTGGTGGTGTGGTGGTAGTGGTGGTGGTAGTGGAGGTGGTGGTAGTGGAGGTGGTGGTAGTGGTTGTAGTGGTGGTGGTAGTGGTGGTGGTCTTGGTGGTGTGGTGCTAGTGGTGGTGGTAGTGGAGGTAGTGGTTGTAGTGGTGGTGGTAGTGGTGGTGGTGTGGTGGTGGTGGTAGTGGAGGTGGTGGTAGTGGTTGTAGTGGTGGTGGTAGTGGTGGTGTGGTGGTAGTGGTGGTGGTAGTGGAGGTGGTGGTAGTGGAGGTGGTGGTAGTGGTTGTAGTGGTAGTGGTGGTGGTCGTGGTGGGGTGGTAGCACCAACTGCTGCACCACCGCTCACCCACACAACAGGGGAGGAGTGTCGGTCTGCACTGACCACTTCCTGCTACGCACGCACACACATACACACACACATACATACACACACATCAAAGATCCCCCATATGACCTTAACAGACTGTAGGGGCAAGTGCTGTTAGCGAGCACCTATTAAGGCCGGAACGGTACACGAGGGGGTGGGTGGCCAGCACCACGCCCGACCGCCTTTGTCTCCCTAGTGGCAATGTTTACACACCGCACCAGGTACTCATTTGAGGCTGAGTCGACCTAGGGGAGGCCCGGGACCGGTTCAGATAATCGTCACTGGTGTTGGCCGCGAGCGGGAATCGAACCCGGGTCGCCAGGTTCATAGCGCAGCGTAGCGCTAACCGCTACACTATCGCTCCCCACACACTATCGCTCCCCCACACACATACACACATACACACACACTCATACACACACACGTACACACACACTTGTCCACACACACACACGTACACACGTACACACACACACATGCACATAAAATAACATAACCGCCATTCGCCACCAAGTGGCGGTGACGT